AGGAACACACACAAAATATTCACAAACTTTACAGTTTCACTCAGAATAGATGTACGTGAGTTTCTGTTTTATCCAGCATCGCTTTCTGTCTGCTTAGATGTCCAGTGTGCAACTGATAGGCACGGTCAAAGAAAGTCATAGCGGCCCGCTTCCTACAATATCAAAATTGGACGTCACGTTGTAGCAAGTTGAAATCATTTACGATCAAATCACAGAGTGGAGTTGTTTTTAATTCACTACTGACTCGAACAGGAACATAGTTTTATCTGAAAAGACACTCCCCGCCCCCATCAGGGTAGTGCTACTGACTGAAGTTGTCTTTAGGCCATTCCCAAAGGGAGGATATTAACATGTTCTTTACTGCTAATACTGTGCCGGAACAACATAGGGGAAACTGCTACTTTTTCTTTCCTCATCCTTACTATCGTCATTTTCCCTCTACTTCTTTTGTATGTTTGTCACTCTCTTGTAAACTGCTATTTCCGGGATGCCTTGATAGTCGAAGCAGACTTTGGGCTGTTGGGGCTAGAGAGGTGAGCAGAGTAAGCCTGATTCCCCATTTGAACTTCTCTGTTGACATCCACTCCTTTGCGCTCATATGACCTTACGCAGTTGCGAGCACCGTAAAACCTTATTAAAACAAGAAAAGACACATAATGTTAAGAATAAGTAATTCTGGTAACTATGAGAACTAACTCGACGAACTGATCAAGTCTGGGGTCTCCAGTCTATGTAGGGCCATATTTGGATTGCCATGACGGCATGAGGGAAGACAGTTTTAATTTTGTACCCCCTACGACGTGGGGAACTTTGTGCCACCACTTTCCAAAGAGGAAATTTACTCGTTAATCCGATCCGTACGCTTTGCATAGCAGTCTATTAAAATGATTTTTTGAGAAATACTGAAAGTTTCAAAGAGATCTTCGTACTAGAAGTATTCTAAAATGTGAAGAATACAGCCCCAGGGGTACAAAATGACCCCAGGGCGTACGGATAGGGTTAAAAACCACCAACCACGGGGCAATAACAGCAATGATGATGCGCAAAATTTACTGGTATGTACGTGACTGGTTGCAACGCTGCATGTCCCGTAGTATGACATACTTAATTAAACGCTAATTTAGATTTTTTTCAAGCCGGCTAGATGGGTTACTGCGAAGTCGTTTGATCCTTCAACGAAGTGCGTGACTTTGAATAAGACACTCTTTGATCTTTGGCTTTTTTAGCTTCTTGCAAGTCCAGTTATTAAACACAGGTACAAGAGGTGTAACCAATTTTTTTCTGTTCTTTTCTTTAAAAAAACAAAACAACTATACCCACCTTATGTATCCCGTCTGCTTTTCTTATTCAACTTTAAGAATCTGACTTTCGATAAATTGTTTTTTCTTTGGCACACGTAATCAAAACTAAAGGTTATGAAACTGACTGGAGTTGTGGTTTTATCGGCATTTTTTTTTTGGGGGGGGAGAGGTTGTTTTGTTTGTTTGTTGTTTTTCCTTTTGCTTTGTTGTTTAGGGGTTTTTTGTTTTTGTTTTGGAGGGGGGGGGTTGTTTGGTTTTGGTTTTGGGGTGGATTATTTTGTAATAAAAATGTTGGGCTTAGTTCATCTGAAGAACTGGCCGAGGATTTGACTTTGAGACGATCTTTTCAGCTCGTGATAGAGGGCGAATATTGTGTTGAAATGAAGTTTACCATATGTGTTTTGTGTGTGTGTGTGTGTGTGTGTGTGTGTGTGTGTGTGTGTGTGTGTGTGTGCGTGTGTGTGTGTATGTGTCTGTCTGTGTGTTTGTGGTTCACGATTACGTTGTTGAAATATTCGTCGTTTCTCCCCCAAGGGGCGCCGCACTATCCAATATCTGCAGCAGTACGTTCTTAAATTGGCGATTTCCTCTTTCCAAGGACGCTCTTCAACTTGTGATAGAGGACGAATATTGTGTTGAAATCAGACTTATTGTATGTGTCTGTATGTGTGTGTGGGACACGATTACGTTGTTGAAATATTCGTCGTTTCTCCCCCTAGGGGGCCGACACTAGTCTACCCAATATCTACAGTGGGCACTAGGCTTGTTCTTTTCGCTTTCCTCTCTTCAAGGAGCTCTCTTCAACTTGTGATAGAGGACGAATATTGTGTTGAAATCAGACTTATTGTATGTGTCTGTATGTGTGTGTGGGACACGATTACGTTGTTGAAATATTCGTCGTTTCTCCCCCTAGGGGGCCGACACTAGTCTACCCAATATCTACAGTGGGCACTAGGCTTGTTCTTTTCGCTTTCCTCTCTTCAAGGAGCTCTCTTCAACTTGTGATAGAGGACGAATATTGTGTTGAAATCAGACTTATTGTATGTGTCTGTGTGTGTGTGTCGTTCACGATTACGTTGAGGAAATATTCGTCGTTTCTTCCCCGCTGGGGCGCGACTCTACCCAATATCTACAGTACGTACGTTCTTATATTGGCGCTTTCCTCTTTCCAAGGACGCTCTTCAACTTGTGATAGAGGACGAATATTGTGTTGAAATCAGACGTATTGTATGTGTCTGTATGTGTGTGTCTGTGTGTGTGGGACACGATTACGTTGTGGAAATATTCGTCGTTCCCCCCCCCTATTGTGCGACACTACCCAATATCTACAGTGGGCACTTGGCTTGTTCTTTTCGCTTTCCTCTCTTCAAGGACTCTCTTCAACTTGTGATATTAAAGGACAAATATTGTGTTGAAATTAGACTTATTGTATGTGTGTGTGTGTGTGTGTGTGTGTGTGTGTGTGTGTGTGTGTGTGTGTGTGCGTGTGTGTGTGGGACACGATTACGTTGTGGAAATATTCGTCGTTTCTCCCACTAAGGGCGCGACTCTACCCAATATCTACAGTAGGCACGTTCTTAACCCTATCCGTACGTTGTGTTTTACTATCGTATCCATATGACGTGGTGAACTCTGTGCCACCACTTTTCAAAGAGGAAATTTACTCGTCTATCCGATCCGTACGCTTTGCATAGCTGTCTGTCAAAATGTTGAGGCATTTTTAGAAATACTGAAAGTTTAAAGAGATCACAGCACTAGAAGTGTTCTAAAATGTGAAGAATACGACCCTGCGGGTACAAAATGACCCTAGGGCGTACGGATAGGGTTAAATTGGCCCTTTCCTTTAGTCTTTCCAAGGACGCTTTCCTTTCCTTCGGCGCTGTGCAGGGCCAGCCAGGGAGATAGAGAGAGGGAGAGAG